CAAGCATAATAGTGAAATCGCAATTTACCTTTAATAATGAAACTGGTAATTAAATAACAAAAATGTGAAAATACTATTACGTCATTGTGGCCACTGAGGCTAATAAGAACAATTCGCAAATTTAAAGACATATAGCATATAGGACAATAATTTTCTGTAAATATATAATGTATATGTATGATAAAATAATTACTCAGGGACGTGTAATCGTTAATCGATTGATTTAGTGTTGTAGTGCAATTAAAGGAGGTATCGTCTTTAGGAGAGAGACAACTATAGCTGTTGCTGAACGCGGTCCCAGGTCTCGCTGAGTGAGAGCGAGTCGGCTAGTATTAGTCTTCGCTCAGGGTCGTTGTGCTTTCGATGAATAAGAATATGCGACCAGAACTAGAGGTTTTGACAGAAGAAGAGAAATGAGACTTCGTAATAGACAATTGAGCATGAGGGAGCTTTATTTTATAAAAGAGTTAAGCGACACCGAGAACTCGTTGATAGGCGCAACTATAATGGAAGGCATAAATTAAAAATGTAACGTCCCGACATGTAAATGAGAATAAAATGTTTTTTTTTTTTTTTTTTAATAATACAAAAATAATGAATAAATAATATTTACTTACACAATCAATCAAAACTTGTATACATAATTACATTCGCCAATGAACTGAATATTTAATTGCAAAGTCTTATCTAATAGGCAAAACAACTAACATATAATCATACCACCCTCTAAAACAAAACTTATCTTCATTGTATAATTGTATGCTCATTCAATATCTGTCTACGTCAGGGAACCTAGGTCAGGGATCCTAGTTCTTCAATAGAAGAATACAGAGTATTTCACAGGCGTGCGATTGCTAAAATCTTTCTGGTTGGCATACCTTGCGATGGAAAAGATTAAAAAAGAAGATAAAACCACTAAATAACAAACGCAACAACCCAACAAGAGGAACTACATTTTTGTGGTTTTGAACTAGTTCGGTTGTCTGTAAACACGCTTAACGAGTTCACATTTTTCACCTTGCTTCCCCCTAGAGGCTTGCGCTCCATGAAATATTTGTTGTACCAGACAACGCTCAGGGGCTGAGGCTCGAAAGCAGCAGGGACCAAGTGGCCATATTTATTTTGCATCGCTGCCTGTCGACAGACAACTCCCAAAGTACTTCCTAAGCCCACCTGCAGAAGGTAAGTTTGCTTAGCCGAACTAGCTTAACAAAGGTCTGTTTAAAGTCAAATGGGGGCTGTAAATTTGTATTAGTGATTAGGTCTGGTTCAATAAGAGACTTTTTGGCCTGCTATACTGATAGTTTTGGTTGATTTGGGTGAGCTGAGATGACCTTAATTTTAATAACTCTGCCCATTTGTAGATAATTTCCTAAGGGTTAGTCTAATACTTTAGTCTATAACAAAAGTAATTTATTCACATACATACACATCCTAGCTTTATTTCCATACAGCTGGATGTCATAAATAAGGCTTGACGCCAGGATGAACTTGTTTTTTTTTTTTCAGAACATGTCTACGTGTACGTATGAAAATCAACCAGTTAAAATTTAATATATTGTATTTTTATAAAATTACATTTGTTTTTGTAAGTTTTGCTAGAATCTAATTAATTTTTTTTCTGTCCTTTTTACAATTATAATTTAAATACGAATTAAATATAATTAGACGTGAACATGAAAGTTGATATTCAAATGGTGGCAAAGGCGTGCAGGAGCTTAAGGTGCTCCTCATAGAACTTGATAACCATCATTGGTATATGGTTGTATGCCACGTCGCATGCAATGAGTTCCGGCAGATCGAGGTCCTTGAATTGAATCAAAAATGTAATTTTCCCGTCGCAATTTATGGCATACAGTATTTGTTCAGCTGTGTGGCCATAATCGAAGGCACTGTCCATTATTAAAGACGGCTCAATCTTAAATTTTTTTGCTTTGTCGACGTAAATCTCATTTATCTTGATCTCAGCTTGTCGCTTGAGGTTTTTCTTGGCCCGCTGAGACTCGAATTGAGCTATCAATGACTCGCAGTCTAAGAATTTCGCCAGCTCCCAGGTATTATCCTCATCTGGAAAATTTTGCCACTTTACGAAATATTGCAACTCCCCAAGGTGTATGCGACGATCAAGTATTTTCTCTACAATGTACTCCTTGTCCTCCTCTTCGCTGTCCGATAGAGTTGTGTAATTCCAAATACCGAATTCCATAGTTTATGTTATTGTGAATATTTTTTGTTTGCTTGTTGTTGGTGAATATGTCAGTGAGCTAATTTATCGATTATTGATATCTAGTGTTTAAAGTTATCGCAAAGCCAACTGAGATAGGCTCAACTTTGTCGAAAGTTATCGATGCTATTCAACTCCAGGGTTTTATCACATTCTCGCTCACCCTCTGTGGCTTTCGGAAATGTCGACATATTTGCGGCAAAAAAATTTAAATTTTTAATTATTTTCGCCAACATCGAAGCTGACACATGGGGCTTAGGTTGCACCATCAGAAAATGGGTCGGACTCTGGTCGGATTAGCTCTCGAAATCGCAAACAGCCACAGAGACAGCCACAGAGACGCACAGTTACGCAGACAGCACAGTTTGTTATGCAAATTTGCTCGCTTTTTATATCTGTCCATGGCGCACCCAAACTGAATGCTGAATTTGCTGACGAACTGCTGTTGATGAAGGTTTTTTTTAGTCAGAAACGTGGCTACTTCTGCGATTAAGTTATGGCAACCCAAAGCCACTTTGTCAGCCCATTGAGCGGGGCCACACACTTTTTTCTCCCTGCTAAAAAGGAGTGTTATTTATAGCCAGGAATTTATATAACACACTCACACGCACACACATACGTAGAGTAAAACAATTGCCAATAAAATATATATTCTATGTCTACATAACGAAGTTCTGCAATACGCTGCGAATACTTAATGAAAAATGATGCCTCCAGCATAGCGAAAGACGAAAAAATATAAATAAACAGCATGCTGGCCCAAAGGGCTCGAGTCTGTCAAACTAATAAGCCGAAGCCGTCGCATGTCGCAAAAACTTGGGAGATAATATATATGCGTATATTTTTTGTTGTTTTTATGTCACGAAATATATTCGCCTAATGCTGACTAAAGTGCAGAGGGAGCTAATCCGAAGCCAAATTAAATATTCTAACAGAAGTGCTGTAACAGCGCCATTCTGGCGCACAAAAACTATTACGATTGTTTTTTTGTGCCACCCTTAATGAGCAATTTTATGGAAGAACTTTATGGAACAGTTACTTCAGAGGCTTAGCTTACACTGGCGAGCAGACTTTTGTTGATTCCCTGTTTCTTAGGAACTGCCTTTCAATTTAAGTAAAAGCTAATCTTATCCGCAGGTTGGAGTTGCCTTTGTGTTCCAAATAATTAGCCATTAGCCATTCGGAATTGTTGTCTAATTGCTTGTTTTCTATACTTAAGTCGGGATTAGTCAGCCGTTTAATAATGAATAAAGAGTCCTTTCATCATATTTACTTATCTATACAATATTTGCCATGGTTTTTCAGGCATCATTTTCTATTAATCATCAAGGTGCCAGAAAGTTCGGAGCAATAGAACCAATTGTGTGTGTACTGCAATCAATCATGCACAATAGAAACTGATGACGTCTCCAGAGACCAAATCATGTACGCAATAATAATCGATTTTAGTTATTCGAGCTTTAAATTTTGCATAACTTTAAAGCCAACTCGTTTAGAGTAGACCAGTGCAGTCTGTTTGTGGAATTCAAAAGCGGGATGCTTTATACTTATTAATATCTTAATTAGAGCCTGTATATATGCATGTCTATCTTTAGGCTAGAATTTGTTTTCATTTCGTAAATTTACAAGATGACATTTTGTATTTGCCGGTGTACATATACATATGTGTATATATGTTGTTGTAGGATAGTCTCATCTCTTTCATCCTCGAGATATATGTATGTATGTATGTACATATATAGTTAAACCAAAATAATAACAGCCAAGCTGTCAAAAGGACTTTCCCAAACAAAGCAATGCAGAGCCAGCCCCCTTCCCCCTCTCCACTACCTACCCACCACCTGCTTTGCAAGCCTGCTTCATGGCCAGAGCTTGTATGCTGAATAGATATTTCGGTATTCTTCATGCAACACGGAGCTGTTACGTCAGGTTAACACAAAGAGAAATAAATTTATGCAACGAAAGTTCGCAGCCTGAACTATTTAAAATTTGCAAATTACAACAGGATTTAATAACCCAGAATCCACGTGATTCTGCATTTGAAAGCAGAATAGTTATTCTAAAGGTACAGAGTAGTATATATATTGATATTCAGTAGAAGTAAGAATAGCGTTTCGTTATCGGAAGCTACTTTAAGTAACATACCCCAAATATTTGAGGATATATTTTTCTGTCTCTTTTCTCTCTCACATACTTTTACCATGTTTTCGGGGATTCTTTTTCATATAACTGAGAGCATCTTTTGAGAATTCAGTAAGCAATATATTTGAGCTTCATTAAATTTAATTACTAGCCCACAATCAGATGTCTTATCGAGTTTTTGATACATAATAGCCCTGGCTTATCCATTGAAATATTATTTCAAACTGACTAACTTCGTATACTTAAATTTAGACTCATATACTGAATGGGCTTTTACCGTTTAAGCTTCCTTCCAGCTGCATGTTTCATGTGCCTCTTTTATCTTTGTGTGCAGCAGCTGGTACCCTTTAACTTTGTCGGAGCGCGAAATGGTGAAAATGAGCGCAACTAAATTGATTAAACGGCCGAAACGCGCTCAAAAGCTTTTCCACATCCACAT